TGTCCTGAAGAGGCTTGGAAGAACTAAAAACAAACGCGTTCTGCATGTAGGCAAACTTCTCAAAGGGTTATCCTAATGTATGAAAACAAATACCTATGAAGTTGTATCTTAAATTGGGGAAAAATAGTCATGATGAAATTGAATCGTCTTTATACCCTTGATTCACTTGGTGGTTGCTCGTGCATCTATCTGATAGGGTGCAATTTATTTGATGATTTTTGTGACCCGTCCAGTTGTGAGCCTGACATAATAGGGACAAGCGAGATAGGGCAGGAGCAAATATTTTTTTCCGATTCTGTCAAACGATGATACAATGAGGCCTTTTATCCAGTTAGGTCTTTGATCTGCCGCTTAATTTAACTGTTGTTGTTGTAAGTAGAACGATACACGGTTAGTTACAAACAAGAACCATGGTAATCGTCAGATGAATTTCAGTGTGTGGAGCTTTCACAAACACTTTCCTGTGTTAATGAACCCTGTTTGTGCTGAAAAAACTAAACAGCACAGAATAAATCTTTTGTGCGCAGTGAGGAGCATCAACAGCACGAGTCCTATTCCATGGAGTTCGGAAACCGAAAAACCCTGTCAAGTCATCCAAACAACTATTCGCTCGCACAGAAGCGAGTGATCAATAGTGATCACCTCGCACCTAGAAATTACATAGCTTCCATTACCCTCCATTTACAAAAATCCTACTGAAGACGCTACGTATTAAATGGCTCCTTGAGTGGTGACTTCAAACCAAAATTTCACAAATTTCAAGTCACATCGCTCTCGTTTGGGCGGTCATCTTCCCATTCTTGCGTAATTATTCCGGCCAGTCCACACCAAATGAAAGCACTGAACTCGAGTTTCGCTCTTAACAGAGCTCATCAGCAGTGCATATTCAATGGCCGTGCCGGAATTTAAACCCCGGACATCTGACATGCGAGGCGAGCGTGTAACCCCTGCTTCACCGACGCACGTTGGGCGCATCAGAATTATCACGTCTGAACAGGTGGATGGGTTCACGCCTGATAAATGTGATTGGTGTGCACGACTGCACGAACGACGACCCGGTGACTGCCTTGGTTGTGACGATCGACTGAACCGCCAGTCAGGACTTCCCAGTCAGGTAGCTTGACACGCCCGAAACCCACTGGGTAACATTTTGGTTGCAGTTTTGGGGTTTTGCGGGATAGGTATTTCGTTCGTATTCTTCCTCCAAGCTGACGACTCCTTGTAAAGGAAGGGTTGTATGTTCAAATGTACTCAGTCAGGACGGAATTCATTTTTACTCAAAAACACCAAAATCCTATTTGTTGGAACGTAGGTTAGAGTGAAACAAAAAATGTTAAAAGTTGTATGTATTTTGATGTTTACCATATGCAAACAAATGAGTAAGGGAATCTACCATACTAACTTTACTCAACGCGACAACTTTTGTGATGCAATATGATAAATTATCGTCAACAATACCAACCGGAGGGAAACTCATGCAGCAGAAAACGGATTTCAGTGACTAATTATGATAAACTATGTGAACAGGTCTTAGCAAATTGGAGCTAGACCATTGTATGTATCAAGCAAATGCATAATTTGGTTGCACCTATAGAAACTTTTGTCCTATTTCCAAGACCGAAGCACTTTCCTTACGTTGTGGTAAACGTAATTAGGCTGCCTACTTTTATCAGTAGTGAACGCCCAACTGTCGGATGAGAAAATATCTCCGCTGACGGAATAATTCATTACTCCTGTTGTCAAGCATCAGATAAGCAGTAGCGTCCAATATGCCGACAGCCATTCTATTGAACGGTAGATAATGATGAATCAAAACAACATTGCGCACATCAGATACAGGAAGAATCACGTGCTATGCGCCCACTTATATATATATATATATGTATATGTGTATGTATATGTATGTATATATGTATAACTTCCCAAAAACTCATCTATAAAATCGCGCCTGAATGAATGTCACGTGGGTCAAGTATGTGGTTATGTCATGTTTGAGCAGGTGAGGGAGATGTAGCGACTCATCAGGAAGACTCACTTAAAAACACTATGCAGCAGCTGACACTGGTTAAACATAAACGGTTCAGGAATCACCAAAAAAACAGGATCGTATAAAAATTGTGAATTATCGAAGAATTTGGATTAGTCTGCCATTTGCCTAAGAATACAAATTGTTCAGCCGTAAAAAGGGAGAGTGTAACTTCTAATTAACAATCGACGGAAAACCGCATCCTTTGACGTATTTATGCGACGGTTTGACGATGCATGTTGTATAAAGAGAAAATATGATTCCGGCGAACTCCAGAATTGCACCGGGCATAAATCCACCCAAATTCGCTCTATGCTAACTTTATTTTGACTTGGTCAGGCATGAACACGTTGACTTTTCATTATAATTTGATGCTTGACAGATTTGTGGTATACATTATTAAACTAACAATCCGAAACTTCAAATTTGGTTTTGCCATTCCAGTCAGTTGTTTTTATTTTCAGCTCCAACTAAACAAGATCAAATCCTCAAACAAAACTTCTATTGAGAGGAGGCACCGTCGTATGCAGAACCGCTCACGAATAATCGGCGAAGGTCAGAGCAAACACGAATGCATTTTGTACAGCCAGATTTGCAGTAGTATATTCGTTTGATCACTATTGAAGCAGATTAAATATTAACCAATGAGCTGCTTCCATATTCAACTTTGAAATCACGTTTACCTGGAGTCAAAATTTTATGTGAAGCCACGCGTGTACAGAAAGCTACCAGGAATTGATACAGACAACAGATCCTAAAGAATAATAAATACCGCGCAAGTTAGGATAAGGATTTACTTTATCGTATGTATAACAATGGGAAGATCAAAAGCAAACATTAAAGGTGGACCATTCAAGTTGTTTCTCGCTTGGGTGTTTTATCTGGTCTTATACAGGCAAAAGGTAGATTTAGTTTAGCTGCCCCAGGAACCGGAGTAACGGGGAAAACAAGTTTGTTGGTGCATTAGTTGTTCTACACTGTAGAAATTTCGTCTTCATTTCTCATGAGTTCATGGGTCCAGTAACTAATGTAGACCCTTAAATCACTTTGTGCCTATTCTGCTCGCTAGAAATATGGGTGAGTCCTGTGCACTCAGGAACGGGGTAATTCTATGGAGAGACATGTTGTCAGTTATAAGGCACAGTTTACCTTTGGGAAGCATTAAATTTATTTCTTGTTTACTTCGCTGTTACGAAAGGATCCAAACTGATGCGGAATATTGCGCTCATGTTTAAGTAATACAGACAAGAATATTGGGCTTGGAGTAGCATACTAAGGATATATTTACAATCCGATGGTGTTTCACCAACGTCAGTCTTAAGATCCACTGACTAATTCGTCCGTATGTAATTTTAAGCAACGTCAACATTTCTGAAGGGTACGTACACATGGCACGTGGCACATAGGCAATTAGTAGATGAAGGTGAACCAAATTACGGAAACCAGAACCCCCACTTCGAAGAAGATTTGAATAGTTACATCCCGGGCCACATGGATGAAGATAGACTCAACTGTGTTCCGCCCGCCTGAGATCAGAGGCCGGTTCTTGCAGGTGAATTTAGTGAAGCCTTTAGAAAAACAGCTAGATGTTTATTAGGTTGCTACAAAGTGGAAGCTTACGTAATATCTGTCTAAACGATGTTGCAAGATAGAAAAGTCTTGTCTTCAAATGAAGCAGAATTGGTTTTGGGTAAATGACTCTGCGCATCGAAGATGAATTTGAGAGCATCGAAATGCACGCGTTTGATTTCAATGTTGAAGTTGGAAGAGCTCTGAGCAATACAATCTTTATTGAACTTTATTGACGTAGACTGAATTTCCTGGTACCTGCAGATTGGTGACAACGCATTTTTAAGTTTTAGCACTACTCGTTTCTGTTCAGCCTACTGGGATAACTCGCGCGTTTCTTCGTTCATATAATGGCAAATGTCCGCTTGCAGTCTCTGTTGGTAGTCCCACCTCAGACCCAGGACTTGTGATTTCTTCTAAATCCCGACTGCCTCAACGTCCTATGTAACTTAATCCGTGCGTGTTGTCCGCTCCTCTTGTTCCTTGCCAGTAATGGACCTCTAAGATGGATTTTCTACTTGTTTACTACTTTTAAAAGGGTATTCCAGGCTGTTCCATTCTGTGGGTGTGTTTCATGATTCCCTGTCTTTACATAAGCTTGTAAATGCGTCATCTTGTCTTGGCGAAAACTGAGGACTCATGACATCTGGGCTGTACCTTGATGGTGAACTTCTGGCGACCAGTGCTGAAAGTAAACCTGATTTAGATAGATGCAACAAGCTGAGAGTTTTTCATACAATCTAGTCAAGATCGGCTCTACAACTATAGCTGATCTGGGTGACCATGTTCAAAAATAGGTGTCACTTATCGCATTACTTTAATTTCCTGAATTCCGATTAGTTGCTAACATGGGAATCCGAAATTATGGAAGATTCACAAATAGTTTAAGGATTATACACAATATTCACCGATGCAAAGTAGGTGTGTTTGCTCTCACACAATAATGGACGCGTTAAAAATAAGTGCAGGTAAACCTTCAGGCATTTGTGAAAAAATCTTCTTGGAACGTCATTTTACAGTCAATTTGAAAGTACTACATGTTGACCCTACGGGAAGATCGTACTCCGAATCGGGTGTGGCTTATCGGAAATAGCTCTGTCATATGCACCAACGGTCAGGATAACTTCAAAGAGCATCAGTAGGAGGGTGAAGTTTTGGATATATTTGACCTAGGATTCCAAGGCGTTGAACTTTCATGTGGAGGTTTAGCAAGCTATTACCTACTTGGTTTGCCTATCTCCCTTGCCGAAGGCACGAGGACTTCGCGTAATTTTCAGCAGCAGTGCGTTGAAAGTATCAGTGTACGGTGTACTCGAGAATCATTACCATCATTAATGTAGTGCCACTTACTAAGCTTTTTTCTACAAGTAAAAAATATAAATCTGACGGATCCTGTAAAACTCACCGGGTAAGCCGGGACAATCTTATACCAAGACGGTTTATTCATTGAGATATCCCTCAATGGTATGATGACTGATCCGAGGTAATGATCTTTCTCACCAGACCACTTGGAATAATTTTCAAATAGTTGGATCTGTAGCTCCCCGTATGAGTCTGATTGTGACGTCCAGTCAAACGATACTTCGAAGTTTTTTCGTGCACGCAGGATCTTCAAGTCAGCTTCTTTAAACTGTACCGAAGCATGCTGTGTCGTGTCTGAATCATGACAGATGCAGCGTAAGTTATATGTGGATTTCTGCCAGGGCCGTTGAGGCTTTAATCCTCTCGCAGCTAGGAGCTGAATGCGCAGCTTTGAGGGAGTTAAGCTAGTAGAGCCATCGACCGCCAATCCTAGTGCAATCACCCCAACAAAGTCTCCATTTTCCAAAGTTAAGGGGGTGCTGGGAAGTTTCGGTTGATCCTGCTCCTCCGTCAATGAAGTGATAGATTCCTCCGATCCAGTAGCCTTTTCTGGTTTCGCTAGAATTCCTGCAGTGAATGATTTGGTTACTTCATCCATCTCAACCTTCAGTGTTCCGGAATGCGCTTGATCGGGCCAGAAAAAGGATCCCCTTTGGATCACTTCGCGTAGGCTGGGGCGCTTTTTGGATAAAACGTAACCAAACGAGTGCTTCTTGGCTCTCGGATGTAGATCGCTTGGATTGGACTCCACGTCTGAATGGGCATTCGTAGCTGTCCTTTGTACACTGTCTTCAGTTATGCTCAATTTTCTTTCTGACCGAGTATTGAGGAGCTCAAAATTTGTTGAAGATGCTCTTCTTGCAGGAAGAGTGACAGTTAAATTCTCTCGCACATTCGGTCTACTACTAGTGGCAATGTTTTCATAACTGTCAGCAGTAGCTTCAACTTCAGACTCATCATATACACAAGTGATATCTATTTGGGGTAGTTCATTTATATTCCAGCGCTTTTCTGACGCTTTTCTTGGACAGGCCTGAGTTGAAGATAATTGTGTGCTTGCAGTAACCTTGGACAGAGTCTTCGTATTCGGAGAGGCGGTGTTGTGTAGTAGACTATCTACCATGGATGCTCGTCGGCTTGAAGAAATGGATGGCTGAACGGTCAAACTGGACCAACTCTTTTTACGCAGGTTGTCCCTGTGCACTGTGGACACCGTCCCGTATAACTTTTCCGGCTGAAAACGAAGTGGTAGAGCTGGTTGTTGACATTCATCGCGCGTGGCAGATTTTGCCCCCAGTTTTGTACGAAGTGAGATTTTCTTTGTATCCGCGTCACTTTCACCACTGGTAAATGACATCGACTCCAGGATATAGCTGGTGTAGTGGAATAGCTTGTCCTCTAATGGTATGTTTTCGCAGCGACCTGCGTGATCCAGGCGTCGAAGATAGGTGCGCCGACGTCTATACCACCATGTTGATCGTGTTACTACCGTCGAAAGTCCAAACAGTGCAAACAGCACAAGCAAAACACTACCAACAACAACAAGCAATATCTCGACAGCTGTCTTTGTGGATATATTGCTTTCAGTCTCTGTGACACCAGGTAGATAGGGAACGTTGCTCTTCATCGCTCGCATGATTATCCGGTTTCCTCACTGGAATAGTGCAAGGAACATTGCGGTGAGGCTGAAAAGTGATGAGATTAGATTGCACATTTAGTAATAGATGACATATCTAGCTTGGATAAACAGTATTTATACTTATTTATATACGTATACTCTCCGCCTAAATACCCCTCGACCCTCACCGCCGAAATGGCTCATGACCCAAGAAGTCGTGACGCCACCCGTCCTGGCGCAGGTTCGACCAAAGGTCTTCATTATTAGAAGGCATATAAGAGACCAGTAGATAAAGCCACACCGTTTAAGACACTCACGTGGACAATACTGGGTCACTGAACACAATAATGAGAATTGTTAACACAACTATCGTGTGCGGCAAAAGGCAACTACGGCTATTCTCCACAAAATACAGTCATAATACAAGTGTAAAGAAGTGCTTTGAGGGCTTGAAGATTTAATTCTCACCAAAAGCTCCTAAACAAAGGGAATCAGGACAGTTGCGGGGTCTTGTATTGGTGCTTTTCAAAGGTTCAGTGAAGTTTGCTGGTTGAAAATCATTGCGTGATATTGAAGCTTCTTGCCATTTTTAGCCAGATGTGTTTGCACAAAATATATCTATTTGAGGGGAAGATCCTACTCATTTTTGAAAGGTTTCAAATTACTTATACTAGCTGTCAAAATTGTAAACCTAAGTACAGTACAAGTCATTCATCGCCACTTGTCCGTCACGTTGTGCAACTGTGCCCGTTTCTTACGCACCAGACTAACGAATGCGACCCTGCTTACCGGCATTATAGCAAGCAGCCAAGTGTATAGTTGTTAGAATAATCGGCCCATTGAGTTTTAAAGCATTCTTATGACGGGCGAAGAGGCATAAGGATCACGCATATCTATTTTTGATTACATATATTCGGTCCAGATAAGAGTAAAGAACAAGAGTCAGGTACAGAACTGTTACTGAAACTATGAATGCACCACAGAAACACAGCGAAGGTTTTTATGCATTGGGATCCATTGTAGCAAGGTACTTCTTATATCAGTGGGACACTACTATGTGACCTTTAGAAATTTAAATAATTTTTCCCGGTATGTAGTCTGGTAGACAAAGCCACACAACATGGCCATTCGTAGGTTTATTCGGGAAGGATCCAACTCAGAACAAGATACTAAGTTGCAACTCTCAATGTCCTCTGACAAAAAGGAGCCTTTTCAAGCTTGCTATCAGAGTATGTTAAAAATAGCTTTGCTTTTAAAATGTACTAATGTATTATTGTAAATAGTACATTTTTGTAGACCATTCCACTCTAAGAACGCGGTGATATGCTCCGATAAATCCTTACGAAGTTATTTAAAAAATCCACTTGCACGCCACTATCAAGAAACGTTTTAACGAAAAGAAGACCTCAGCTGTCCCCGGTGATATCCCCATTTAGAAAGGACTATTTAATTTGAGCCCACTTTGTTTTGTTTTTGGGCGTTCCATTATTCCTCTTAACGAGGAACCAATGGAGTAGTTGCTTCAATTTCGAGGCTTAAATTGTCTTTGGTTCAAAGTCATTATGGCAGATTTTGCAAACTTTTTAAACCTGGAGGCCAGAACAAAAGATTGACAAAATATTTAGCGGCCTTCAGATGACTCAGTTCCCTAGAATAAATCCAGTGTCGACTTATAACGGCCAATCGCTTCAGTTTTTGTTCAACGCCCCGACGCCGACCTATATTTTTGGGACTTCAGAAGTAAAATTAAAACTAAGAAAAAAATTAGCATCAAAGTGTGATGTCATCATATGGATAAAATCATTTCTTTGGTCGTGAGCAACTTTGCCAGTCGGAAGCAGAAAATATGGAAATTTCGTTAAGCTGAACGCTTACGTGCTTTCAAATGATTAGTGAGTTTGGCTTTTCATGGGAAAAAATTGATAGGATCATCCTAGCCCCAGAGCTATTTTGCATGTTTACGTTTTTGGAATCAACTGGGATTTTTGTAGATTTTTGCTAGAGATTTTGGTTATTGATAACTGTATGGAATGACTCGAATTACATGTTCTAGAGTTGAGCAGATGAGTACTACCGGAATCAGGTTGCCTAACGCGTGGGTACTCTGCAACGTCGATTTGCGCTGCACGTGTTCTGCACATGATCAGAAGACAAAAACTAATGCCCTGAATTCGCTTACTGCAGGCAATACTGTAAACAACCGATTAGGTCTGTTCGTGAGTTTTACACTGGTCAAAATTTATCCTATGGAGACAAAAGACTGCATCCTAAATTCGAGGAACGAGAGGGCCACATTCCTTCTGACCTGATTATTATGTGGTTTGAGTTAATGGTTGAAGGAACAGCTATACAAGTGAGCCAGGCAAATTGTCGCGGGGTTTATTGGTCGATACAAGGGACAAGATGAGGGCAATCATCAGAAATGTAACTAGGTCCCAAAGATCCTATCCTGGTGTGGCAAGATGGCTGTTAACAGCCACGGTTGTTCAATCGGGTGAGTTTTTTGTATTCCATTTGAGAGGTTTCGATTTTTCTCCATATGACATGCGGGATTTGGCTATGCTGAGATGACGTGATCACTGAGAATAAAGAGCTTTGTAAATAACAACGACGCGTAGTGACCAGATAACGGCATAAGTACGATTGCTATGGATCGGGACTCACTTGATATACCGGAACGATCGTCGACTCCGTCGGTCAGTTTTACTGTATTCTACGCAACTGATATTAGGTTTAGACCACGGAGGTGCATTAGTTTTCTTGTTTACAGGCTCATAAAGTTAGTATATACTTTGTCCCACTAGGCTCCAGACATACAAATAATAAAGTTTCGAACTCGAGCGAGTTCCACAAGTCATACCACATTGAAGAGAGTGGGTAACAGTGGCGGTTTTTTGGTAGAGTTCAACCTCCAAACAACTATCCACAGGGCCTCCGTGTTAAAAGTGTTGAAGGATTTCGTATGTCTACGGACGGGTAATATAGTAGTTGGGTCCGTTCTCAGTGTCTACCTTGCAGCAGACCCGCAGCACACCGTACTGCATCCTTTTCGTTTAAATGTGCCTTGGATGCGTTTACATTGGTCAGTTGAACTAGAAAATTAATCTGATAGGAATTGGCATCTTTATATTTACACACTTCCAATTCAAATACAAACGTACACCCCATTGCAAAATATTTAAGCAATAGGTGGGAGAAGTAAGCGTGATTAACAACAGACTCTTGTCTACAAACAGAGCTATGCGCTCATCGGTGCTTTCGCTGATGACAAATAAACGTCTTTCAGTACATAAAATTTCTAGAATTCTCTTCAGTCTTCTAAGGTGAAACAAATATCACTGAAAACGTTAGTATGCTTTCTTGGAAGGGATAGTTACTTTCCAGAATCGTACTGAGAACGGGGCTTCATCATAGTGCTATACTTTCTTCACCATAGAAACTAATGGATTCGGACAATGATGTTAATTTCTGATATGATTAGCATGCACTACTCAATGAAGAATTCCAAATTCGCATAGCGCGAACATAAGTAGACCACTGGAGATACTCTTGAACAGACTTACTCCATCATACCTAGAGAGAGTCTCACCAGGTGAACGTCAGAGGACGATTACCCACTGTCACACAGCATCGAACACAACTTCCATGGACCCCCATAGACCTCTTGTATGAATTCCAAAATAGGTCAAGTACTTCCCAGACGTTGATAAGTGTGAAGTCGATGGCATCAGTTTATTCCCAGGCGCGTTAGTTTGCTTAACCTATTTTTACTCTAACTATTCCTTCGAAGATTTACAAAACTAACTCTATTTTCCCATTATACTTTAGTTCTTCCGTCAATTTTGTAGATTGTGGGTCAGCCAAAAACTTACGACTGAATTTTTACTGTACAGTATGTTTGAGAGATTAATTTAGCAGTGTATTGATAGTCCACGTTGAGTTGACTTCATTATGTCATAGCAACAATTTTCTTAGTATAAAAATCCTTTAAATCGGAGAATTTTCTTCCAACAAACCAAATCTAATGTGAGCCACTGTTAGGACGTAGTTGCTACTGTATGTTTGGCTTCAATTTTCTGGTGGTTCCTAAAAATGATCCAAGGTGCCTTATGGAGTTTGAAAAGACGGTTTTGATTAGCCTGGCCCACACAAACTATATTCATTGTATTAGATCAGTAGAGTTAAGAGTAAGAACTTAGATTACTTTGTGTTGCAGCATGCTTCCGGTTCTCTAGAGATTGAGGGTACACATTAGGGTAGCTAAAAAGTCCTCCTAACACGTATGTCGAATCGAGGATGCGGAACTCAAAGCAATAAGTAAGCAGAAGACTGTTAATAATCATGTGATCGACTGTATCTTCCAATTGGTTTTCTGTAGAATACGACTGAAAAAAATTCAATGACGATAATAAAAAAACGGGAAAGACCATACTCGGGCCCTAGTAAATTTCACAAATTGGGCAACTCACCGTTTTCGGTTGTCACATAGCATCTTCCGAATTTAAAACTATGCTGGCTTTAGCGCATCGGAAATAAAATTATGAATTAGTTTTAATTTGAATTGCGCTAACCAACTGATAAGTTAATGGCCACTCGCCCACGCATCTCTTCCAGCTGAACGCGCAACTGGGATTCAATCAATCCATCGTATATCCAATCCGGTCATCGGATGAGAAAGGAGAATTTTCGCTTTTTGATTGGAGCATAGTTTGTTGAGCAGGAGGTCAGTAAAAGCACCGGCTGTGTCAGAATCAACCAGACAGGCCTTATAGGTGACTTCAATTCAAAAGGATGTTTTCAAAAGACCGGTAATGAAGAAATAAATAGCTAGGGCGGAATAGACAAGTAAAGCCCCGTTGTTTTTCACTGGCCGGTGATCTAAAAGTATTTATTGGCTAACCATGCGTTACTGACCCTATGTCTAATTGGATGGGCTTTTTACACTATTTAGTTATTCTGTACACGTGACAAACAACGTGTCTGTTCCTGTTTTACTGGAAACGATACACACGTTTTGTGTGTAAGAACTCATTTTGTTGTAAATGCCCTTGAAATGAAGATGGCGTCCAAATTTGTCACACATCCCCAATACACACGCCAAAAGGCGCTGACTACTAAATATATGAAAGTGGAAATTTGTGCTTTGTTTCGTGTCTTGACGTAGGCGAGTTGAGTTTGCGTAAAGTGTGCAATTTTTTCAACCGCTCAACAGATTCGTATAAACAAGATGTACCCATCCATGCTGCTGTCTTAGACCGGTCCTCGTGCAATGATGCGAACTGGAGATGGATACCTGGGTTTCTGAATAGCGTTGACGGTGCTTGAGTCCTCGCGGCCTTCTATTATCTTGTGCGTTGTTTTCAAAATTACGTATACTGCCAGGCGCTCTTTCTGAATATCCGTTTACTAACACAGAAGAGTCCGTCATACTGCTACTTATGACAGACCTATAGACAATGTAATCACTTCTTGTCTGGTATACTAGAGACATTGAAAACAATCGCAAACGGAATGTAGTAATAAAACTGCCACGTATAGCAGAACACGTCGTTGCATTGTGTTGTACACCGTATCCTTTCGGCAGCCAGTAGCGTTGTAGCCATAGGTCACCGAGTGCTATTAGGTAGCACGATATGAACATACACAATAACTTTGACTAGGAAGGTTTGTCGAAGCGCACGATGGATGGAATATGTTTCAAGGTCGTTTTTGACTTACAAAACGTCTTATTAGGAGAGCTATGAAAGGGCTTTTTATGCAGCAGCAAAACAAATGGAACCACTTGGTATGTATTTAAATCAATGAAAACATATCCAGCTCAGTTTCACATGCAGTCCAGCTGTGTGTGCCTAGAGTGGTTTTTTGCATACAATGTTATCTGACGAGAGGAGTCAACTATTTGTCCTCTTCTGGTTGATGATCGAGGGTATATTCAATGGGGCAGCAAAAAAGTCCTTTCAAGGACAGCAACGATGCCTCGTATAGTTTCATGGGGCTAAATGGACACTGTTTTTGAGGAGTATTCATCAGTTCGCCAATAACAATGTGCAATGCTGTACTGACCGGCATTAACGCACATCCGAATGTTTAGGGCTACCGATGGCTCACACAGTTAACACATTTGCCGACTTTGAGCAGGTCACAGTTGACCTGGGCCGAGCAATGACAACCGTGCACAGGGTCTTTCTACAGGAGTTATATCAAAATATAGCATTTCATAGTTAGCATTTTCAGGACGCCTCAACACTTTTCGCTTTCAATAATACATCACCAAATACATTTATCCATTTTGTGATGAAATATTTCTTCTTTGGAATTACATCAATGGGAGTTAAAAATGCGCTCTGGCGTGGCCAAGGCTATAAAGCCATATTTGGTACCCTACTCTACGTGCTAGGTCGTAATCAAAACTCTTACAGTAGATGCCAAGCAACTATGTATGACATTTGATTTGTCACAAATACTTAGGCGAATATTATCAACCCTGATAATGTCTAATCCGAGGTACAACCTCACAAGCAATTCCGTCTTGTTATTGAGGGCACCTAGAATGTGCTGATTTGATGCCCATGACTTTGAATATGCATAAGTCTTTATTCCCTGGGGAAAATATTAAATGTTTCAGATTTGAAGGAGGTGCTCCAACAGGTATGATGTAGTCTACAATTATGAAACAACAACACAATCGTGCTTAGTCATGTGATCTGTAACGGAATGAGATTTATCTAGGTAGCGGATTACGGATATCACCTAATTAATGACAGAAAACAATGCATGTAATGGGGAATCGCTTGAAGGGTCTCTCAGCGTGTGACGTATTGATACATTCCAAGTCTAGTTGGAGCCTTTGGCCAAGTGTTATTATCCACACTGAGACACACTGAAAAACAGACCTTGTTCATTTTCGCTTTTATTACTATTACAGCAAAATCACATGAAGTTGCCGATCATTCAAAGTGGCTTTCAAACCGCAGAACCTAACGAAGCTAGTTGTAACTTGTTTGATGGGTCTTTGAAAGACAAACTGAATCCTGCGTCCACGTTCCCCTATGGATGTCACAGGCCAGTTTTTTAATAAGAAATTCTTGTTCGCTTGTAATCTTTCATCGTCGATCAGGTGGAGGGATTACGTGTAATACAACCACTTGAGAAAAATTGGTGAAAATATATGCATCGTCTGATCAAACCTGATCAGACTGATCTTACCTTACTGAGCGTAGATTAGATTCCGAGCTAAATTGTACTCTTTACATGTAAACCGCTCCACAGTCAAGACAAAACCAAACGGGACTAAACCAAAAGGTATAGAATGATGAGTTGGTTTTAGTTTAATACAGATCGAAATTTTCTGTTATTCATTCCGCCATATTGGGATCAGTTTGCCCCGTCAAATAAGAACGGCATTGAAATCAACCACATCTGGAATTGACCTTTAATTTTGTTGCCACTGGATGTACGTCAGTCACCCGGTCTAGGGTTACGGTACACAGAAGCGGTAACAGCACCTACTCTGCTCGATGCATTTGCCGATGGGAAAATTATCACGAGTTAACTGTAATTCATGTTTCAGCCTTATAAGGGCATCCTCTCCTTGCTTTTTAGAGGAAAGATTACACATCAGGTTTAGACGTCCGAAGTAGGGTTCGTTAGAGTTCGTGGTGCAGCAAACTTTATTTACATAGCCTCACGACAATATACAGAGAGTGAGTTCAATGAACTCTTGAAACTAGACACGAAATCTATTAAATATTGGCGAAAGGTAGCTTCATCGGGATAAACCCTCATTGATATAATCGATGGCATATTCAAGCAAACCAACATTGCCTTCAGCAACACATGTAAAAGCGTTTGTCTTATTAAAGATAGGTTTGAAGGATTAATTTGTAATCATCTAATTGAATTATTGAATAGAGCAGGGGACTACATTTCGTACAAATCCGATTGCTTTTACTCGAGATTTTCCAGAACAACCTCCATATCAAAAGCGAGCACCCAATGGCTCGAAAAATTCTAAACGACTATAAGAACTAATCCAGTTTCCTGACAGAAATGTGTAATTCAGCCGTAATCATTAGATGGAAATTCGCAAATGCGAACAGTCCGTAGACCGCATGCAATTGACAATTGTATTTATTCTACGGAAACAAAACGAGCAACAACAGGGGTATATTAAAAACGGAGAAGCGTATCAGAACCTGACGCAAATTATCAACTGGTCAATGAAATAAACACTGCCATCTTCCGAATCAATAAACAATGGGTTCTCTTTAAAAACTATATAAAGAAATGCAAGTATGTGATATATATCCACCCACCCACCCACGCACTAACGAAGTCTTCTCAGTTGTCTGCGAATTGTTTGAGAGCATAAAATATTCCCTTTTCTAGCTTGAATGCACTTTGTATGTATGTTCCCGCTTTGCAACCACCGAATAGTTTGCCAACATCCAGTCTAAGTTTCGTTTTCCACTATAATCTTTTGCAAGCAATTCTTCTGATAAGACCGATCAACGTTGGTTGAAACTTTTCTTCACAATGTCCTTCTTTGGAGGACTCAGTTTCCACAAAGAACGAAATAGAGAAATTAATCTGCATGCTTTGGAATAATGTGATAGCGATCTGCGATAGTGAACGGAAAATGCCGTGTGCTCATCAGACTGACATCTAGAATGGGGTTGTGCCAGTATACCTCTCCGGTTCATTGCAAATCAATCAGTAGCATTATTTCTAGGTGGATTAATTATTTATGCTGCCGAAGACGCGATATGGAAGTGCATAAAAGGGGGTGAAACAAGCAGTCAGCTGGTCCAGATGGTCTATGACAACCCTGCTGACTGGTCCAGAAAAACCCAGCAAAGTTAGATAAGAACCCGAGATCTACACTAATACATTTAACAAAAGAGTTGATTCGCATAACTCTGAAGATTCGAATCAATCGTTTTTTCTTTTAAAGGCATAACGTTGGGACCCCGAGGTGATATGTGTTATTCGGTAACTCTTGACATAGTACTTTTACCACTGACATTCGCATTGCCAAGGCGATTGGACGACTTTACAGCAGCGAAGCATCAGCGTTTTGTGCAGACTGTATCTGTTATATTTATCGAGTTTCCTCGAATGAACAGTTTGAGTAGACAACGGGACAAGAGCACGCATCATAAACCAGGATGAGACAATGTATTAATGCACGTGGTGGATGTATATGGACATGTTTTATACCCCGTAATTCGTCAGTAAACTTTGTGCTTCCCTTTTTAATCTGATTGATCCGTTGGTTACTTTGACTCTGTCTGGGTCCCCACGTGGATCCGAGTCCCACAATTGTGTACTATTTTTGTTCGTATTGATTTACTGACGGCGTCGATGACTTTGTCCGGGTAAAACCGGGCTGAAAACCGAAGGTTGTACTGCTAATGTCAGTCAGTACAGCAGAAAAACACCAAACCACAAAGCGGAAAAACTACAGTCGTGGAACGGAAATATTGAATTGATGGAATCTATCGAATCAACCAGACACAAGGAGATGAGACCACAACGAAACGAAAATTCCAAGGTGAACACTATGCTTACGGGAAAGCCAACTCGCCAC